TCCTCACAAACCCCGGGATTTCTTTTTGTGGAAAGACCTGAAGATAATCCCTCAAAATCCCGGGATTTCGGACGGGAGGGGGGTGACCGAGACCCTCCAAAATTCCAGGATTTCGGAGGGAAAAGATGACGATGACCATCCAAAAATCCCGGGATGTTTTTGGTCGGGAAGGAGCGACCGTGACCCTCCAAAATTCCGGGAATGGGGGGGGGGAACGATCACGACCCCCAAAAATCCCGGGATTTTCGGGGGGAAGAGGTGACGATGACCCCTCCAAATCCCGGGATTTTGGGGGTTGTTCCCGTCCCTTCCCCCCTCAGGCCGGGACCCCTCAGGCCGCGCTTCCCGCCCAGGCCTCGCCCCCCCTCAGGCCTTGACCCCCTCAGGCCTCTCCCGCCCCTCAGGCCCCGCTACCTGGAGCTGCGCTCCGGGGCCGCTCCCCGGCTGCCGCTGCCCGCTTCTCGATGCCGCTTCTCGATGCCGTTCCCGGTTCCCGATCCCGGTTCCCGATCCCGGTCCCGTTCGGGCCCCTCAGCGGCGCCGCTTCCCCTCCGCCACTTCCTGCTTGGGCCCCCACGGCCCCGCCGGCCGCTCGCGCCGTGCGTTCCCGCCCCCGCCGCGCTTTCCCATAGGATGAAGCGCCCGTCACTCATCAAAGCGCGCGTTCTGATTGGTCCTTACTGCTGTCACTCAATGCTGATCGCGGCCCTCCGCACTCGCCATTGGCTGAGCGGGACCCGCCCCCCAAAAGGTTGCGTTAATTGGGGAGAGCGGGTGTCATTCAACTCGAAAAGCCCCGCCCACAGACATGTTCTCGCTTTCTATTGGTTGCCAGGACTTGCGCATCTCTCTGCCGATTGGTTGAAAGCGCTGTCATTCAATTATCCCCCGCCTGTTCTCGCTTCTCATTGGTGGAAACGCGCTGTTTATCAAGAGCGGGTTCCGGCCGCCATTGGCCTCACGGAGCGGCCATGGCGGCGGCTCCCAGCCGGGGGCTCTTACAGGGCGCGGGATTTGTCCCTCAGCGCTTGAACCCGCCCAGCCCGGGCCCGGAACGGCTTCAAGCCCCTCCTGCCATTCGCTGCCAGCGCTGCCACTCACAAACACAACTGAGGGGATGTCCCGCCCACCCCCGCCTGTTGCGCGATGCCATTGGTGGATTGCGCTGTCACTCAAGGCCGCCTCTGTCTCCTCGCTCTCCCATTGGCTGGAGTGCCCAAAAGTGCGCCAAGCCAATCCTCGTCGCTCATTGGTCCGGAGAGCTGTCAATCATATCTAACACCGCCTTCCTCCTCACCCTATTGGCCCGCATCTGCCCCTTCCCTTTGCTGATTGGTTGGTTTTGCTGTCGATCAACTCCCAAGCCCCGCCCGGCAAACAGCGCGCGGGGGATGCCGGGAGCTACTGCGGGAATTCCGCTCCCGCTGGGCCCGGGCCGGAAATTCCTTCCCTTCCCACAATTCCCAAGAAATTCCGTGGGTTATTCCCAAGAATCCCCCGCCATTCCCAGGAATTCCCTTCAATTATCCCGACCCGTCCCAAGAAACTCCTTCAATGCCCGCCAAAAATTCCTTTTAATCCATTTATTCCCACGAAATTCCTTGCGTTATTCCCACCATTCCCAAGAAATTCCGTGTGTAATTCCCAACAAATTCCCGCCATTCCCAGGAATTCCTTTCGGTTCTTCTCGCCATTCCCGAGAAACTCCTTCAACTCCCAAAAAAACTCCTTTTAATCCATTTATTTCCGCAATTCCCAAGGAATTCCTTGTAACATTCCCGCGATTCCCAAGGAATTCCCGCGTGTCATTCCCAAAAAAATCCCTCCCCTTCCCAAACGGCTCCTCCCAACCCCAAAAAAACTCCTTTTAATCCTTTTATTTCTGCAATTCCCAGGGAAAAAAAATTTCCTTTTAATTCCGTTTTTTTTTTTTCCCCCGGGAATTTTTGGGATTCATTTCTTCTCCTCCTCCTTCCGGTTTTCCCGGTTTTCCCGGTTGCTTTCCCGGTTTTCCCGGGCGGCCTGGGAAGCCAGGGATCCCATGGCGTTGCGGATGGCCTCGTTGTTGGGATCCACGCCGGGAAGGTTTTCCAGGACGCTCTGCAGGAATTCCGGGTCCTGCATCACGTCGTAGTCGTCCTCCTCCTGCGGGGGGAAAAAACGGGAAAGACCGGGAATTCCGGATCGTTCCCGGGAATTCCGGATCGTTCCTCGGGATTTGGGGTCGTTCCCGGGGGATTTGGGATCAGCCCGGGGAATTTGGGGTCGTTCCTCGGGATTTGGGGTCGTTCCTCGGGATTTGGGGTCGTTCCCGGGGGATTTGGGAT